GCTCCTCGCCGGCTACGGCGCTCCTTGGGCAGCACCGCAGGTGGGAGCATCGCAGGTGCGGGGCCCGGCCGCGAGCCTGGAGCGCTGTTGGCGTCGGAGCGCGCCGGGTATGCGGTGAAACCGGGGAGCCAGAGCGTGCGAGTCCACAGACGCCTGGGGCCGCGGAAGACCCGAGTTGGGGTGGTTTTTCACAGAGTTCCCGAGCGTTTCTCCTTTGGCGATCCTGAGAGGTGGCCGGCCTCTGAACAATGATTTAGGACCCACCCGCAGAGAAACAGGAAGACACAGAGTCCCAGGAGGGGCAGTGCTGGGCAAGAGGGAAGGTTCTGGGTCCTGATTTGGGCCCACAGGGAACCCGAGGCCTAAATGACCTCCAGGCCCCCTTGAACGCGGTGCAGGACGCAGGCCTGGGACCCCAGAGCACAGCGACTATGGAGGAGGAGAGAGCCTCTCAAGGGCGGCCTGAGGCCAGAGTAGCTCCGGAGCCTAGGCCTCCTCTCCGCAGAATCGGGACTGGTGAGCCACAAGCTGGCAGGGTGAGAAACCGAGGAGGAAGGGAAAAATCTTCTCTGGGCTTGGAGCCCTGGGTACACACTCTCCCCCTGGGGCCTTAACCTTCAGACAGAGCCCTGGAAATGAGCTGGTTCTGGCAGGACAACAGCTTCGGCTGCATCCAGGCCGGATGGAGAGACATCAGAGCTGGAGACCGAGGTGGGACATGGCGGAGGCCTTAGTGGCTGAAATAACCTTAGGAAGACAGCCCATGGCAAACGCTTTCTGACACTCAGACTGGAACCAGCTTTCCCACAGGCTCAGAACTAGTCCAATAAGTGGTTGTTGACATGCACAAATATTCACACAATCATACACTTGTCTACACTTGCACTCTACACACATACATACAAAACCTCTTTTCTCAGGAGCCAGCGTGCTCACACAGAGTACACCCAGTCATGTGGCCTCGCACATAGCCACACACTCTCAAACCCGCAGGACGGACTGAGCAGATTTAGGAAGATCCAGTGGCCTCCCGCACTTCCTCCACCTTTCCTCCCCACCTTCCTGTTGGAATGAGATCAGGCACTCGGGTCCCAGACACTCACAGCTCCACACAGGTGCCCTTTCTGGAGACAGGCTCTCAGCCCTGTCCATGTGCACCGGCTTGCTGGCCCCAGGGCTCAGACTCTCTCCTTCTGACCTCACCCAGGCCCCTCCTTGTCCCTATCATTTGGGAATGTTAGGTGTGAGCAAGTCACAGACTGAGAGATCCTGGAGGCTGATTGTCCAAAGCCAGGGGACTCACATGTTTTCTCTCCCACTGCCCTGGTCTTCCGTGTTTTGAAGAAATTCACCCGTGAAGCTTCTGAGGAGGCAAAGACATTAGACAAGGAGAGATCCCGAGTCATTTCCAACCTCTCCTTTGGAAGATGTCTTCAGGTCCAGAGGGAAAATGAAAAGGGTTAGACCCCTCTGATCACCCTCTCTGAGCCTGCTGGGCCCCCACTGCCAGCCTGCATAATGCATTCTCTATAGGCAGTATCCACTGGGGCAACCTACAGTGTGACCTGAGAGCGAGAAACTCCTCTAAAGCCCCGTTTCCTCATCTGTATCCCGCGGGAGGTAGCTGTGAGGCCTCAGTGGGTAGTAAAAGTCCCCCCCACCACCCAGAGAGCATGGGACTCTAGCCTGCCCACTCCGGGTTTCTCCCCTTGGCCTGGTGCTGTTGGGAACTCATAAGCACCCAATTCTGAGGACAGAGCAGCCCCCCCCCCCCCCGCCTCCGTCCTCGTCCTCGGTACAACGAAACGAAACAAACGCGTCGCGGTAGGGGTTACGGGAAAACGAAACGGCGACGCCGTAACGGAAAACCCAAACC